TATCAAGCCATGGTCGATCGAGAGGGCTTCACTTGCACCAACGAAAATAGCACCGTGAGATCGTAAGACTCTGGAGTCAGCGGCATGTCTGTGCAGCCGCAAAGGTACAGTACTTGAGTGACAGACAGTACAGGGCATTGTTAACGACAAAGAAACGTCACCGTTGCCATCGCAGGGTGTCAGTGTCTCCTGAACAAAGCGGGGCAGGAACGTCACGGTGGCGGCACCGAGGTCGGGCCCCGCCTGTGCCGTGAGCGGAGGCGGGTGGTGAGCTTCCGGGCGCCAGCGCGAGCTGCAGGGCTCGGGAAGCCGTGGACTTCAGGGACCCGATGGGGTGTTTAATAACAACCGGATCAATCGTTTGCACTCTGAGGGTGTGAGGCCCTTGCCAGGGGCGCCCAGTTGGTACAGTCAAGGTGGCCAGGAGCAAACGCAGAGGCGCCAGGCAGGGAAAGCGCTCGCCTAAGAGCACAGGTGCCTGCCCAGCTCTCGCGGGCCTGGTGACCCATGCAGGCTCGGCTGCCCTGGCTTCCTCAGCTGGCTCCACCGGCTCCGTCCATCTGTGCTGAGCTACAGAACGTTTGGGGCTGAGAAAAAGCAAAGCCCTAGCTCCCCGAGATTTAAGGGTTTTGTGGGGACGTAGCTTTGGGGTGTCTGCCGGTGGCCGAGCCTGCGCTGGGGAGCACAGCGCTTTGCAGCTCTTGTGGCTAGAGCTGGCGGGTGACATTACAGGGTGGGCGGCCCCAGCCTGGAATTCTCCCGCTTCTCTCTGCAGAGCACCGAGGGAGGTCTCTCCATACTCCTCACTGGTTCCGGCGAGGCTACGTCGAGTCNGGTGACATTACAGGGTGGGCGGCCCCAGCCTGGAATTCTCCCGCTTCTCTCTGCAGAGCACCGAGGGAGGTCTCTCCGGCCGTCCCTTCCACCTCGCAGCCTCTGGGGTGGTAAAAACCCCAAACCAACACCCGGCCCCTGGCGCAGGCTGGAGAGGGCAGAGCGTTTGGTTTGTCGCTGTGATGTAAGCTGACCAGAAAGTTGTGACGTACAAACACAAACACAGATACACAAACAGCACCAATAAGTGTAGAGGCGCCTGGAGAAGATCCATGGACAGCAGCCTAAGCGAGACCCTCTGGGATCACGGAGGAGGTGGGCTCCTCACAGCAAAGTCCTTGAGCATTAGCACCCATCCAGCACCCACCAAGCTGCTCAGCAGAACAGACCTCCTGGCATCCAGGGTCCCTGTGCCCAGGCGAGGGCCCCCCGGAGCGGCAGGGTCCTGTCGTCTTCTGTGCTCTCAGAGGCCACTCGGGTCATTTGCCCAGGCTCCAGAGAGGGCACAGCTCTGTTTCGAGGGGTGAAGGGACTGCGGGAGGGAAAGACCTTCTCCGTGCTTTTCTGAGTGTCATTCTTGCCCCACTGGGGAGATGGGTCAATCATGTCAGCATGACAAGGTCTGAGCTACCGGAAGGCTCTCTTCCATCTGCCCTGACTGATCTCCCCGATCCTCGCCCACCCGGCGGAGCGGCCCCTGGAGGAAACCCGCCCCACGATGGGCGAAGCCGCCAGGCCCGAGCGCCAGTCTTCGGAGGTTCTGCAACTTCAGATAGATGGCCAAGGTCAATAGGAAGCCGCCCCATAAGGTGCGAATTTTACGAAGTTCTGGCTAGAGCAGAGGTCCCCAGAAGGGAGAGGGGAGCCCCGCACACCTGACAGAGCTGTCCCAAGCTCCCCTGCGTGCCAGGAAGCGATTCCATAGCCGAAAGGAGCACGTGTCCCATGTCACAGCGCCGTGAAGAGAGGCTCTTCTGTTCCCCTATGTGGTGGGCAGCAGAGACCTGAAAACTAGATGCCTCCCCAAACCCAAACCCTTCTAGAACATGCTCCCCCACGTGGCGGATGCAGAACGACTTGGCCCTGGTCTCCTTGTTGGCTTACGCAGACCCAGACTCACAGAACGAAGACTTCCAGGGCAAGGCCTGGGGTCTAGAGGACCTGTTCTCAGCGACAGGCAGAAAGGCAAAGTCACTGTGTTGTCGCGAGGGTCCCGGTGGCCCGGCCCCTCCGGAGAAGCCACTAGCAGAGGCTTGTCGACATCCGTCCTTCTGCCCAGGGTGTCACTGGCTTTCAGAATAAAGCCCGTTTTAATGTCAAATGTCTCATTTTGGATATTCCCCCGTGGTACGTGAAGCACTGGGAATTCAGACGTCGGGAGGAAGCCGGAGGCAGCCAGTGACGTCTCGCTCCGTCAACAGTTGTCAGAAGTGCTCTCTTTGAGGTACATGGAAACTTAGAAACTACGCTTATTTTGTGATGTATGCCTATTTCTTCCTTACTGTAGAAAGCCATCCAGTGGCTCTTAATATATTAAGTATAAAAGCACTAACGGCAAACGTCAAGTCCACGCTCAAGTCCTAGGGGGACTGGACCCCCGGGACGGCCTGCGGGCGAGCGGCGCGGTGCTGCGGGTCCCAGCTGCAGGACTGGTGTGCTCTCGGGT